TACAGTGAGATGGAGTTACGAGAGATTGCAAGGAGGAGAAGAGAAATCATGGCCTCCAGCCTGGGGGTTAAAGACTCAGCAGAAAAACAGGACGAGCAAGAGACCGAGCGAGTTGAGGCACATAACAGCAATAGGGATTTGGTGTTGTTAAGTGTACAACAAAAAATTGTGATTTCATTTTCTTGCAATTATGGGATGACAGGGTTTGTATAGTATAAGTTTGTGAGGAATGCGGGATAAAAGGGACTAGCTAAGACTGAGTCACGATGGGTTAGAAAATAACATTTTAAGGCTACTTTCTGGAAGAGCTACCTTCGAAAGTGTGTAGACAAGACAATGAGACAGGGCATGGGATGAGATTGGTTGAGAAGGGTGTATTGTGAATTTTGGATGGAATGAGGATTGTGCTTTCGACAAGAGAAACTGTGAGTACAGATTGACGAGTAAAACAACGCATTGAATATCAATCGAGTACGAGAGAGGTTAGGGAACCTATGGGTTAAGGGGTGTGAAGAACACTCCTTCCCTAGGAGTGTAATCCAACTGAGTAATGAATGAGTCTGAGAATAGCCAAGATCTGAGAAACCAAGAAGACTGAAAATAGAGGGGGTGCTCCGGTCTTTTGCGATGGTTGAACGGCCGGGTAGGCTATTGCTGCTTGGGGTCGCAAGCCCCAACTCGAGTACTAGACGCTAAGTCGGGTGCATGCATGGATAATAAATTGCCTTGAGAATGGATGAAGGAAACCGCACACAGAAAATTGAAAAGGGATGGCCACCTTCTAACCTCCGAAGCAGAAATGGGATCTGTGTCCTCGAGGCCCACCCCCTCGGGCGCTAACATTGAGAATGGAAAGGAATGACCCTAACAAGGCTGTTCGACTTGAGAATGGAAAAGAATGGCCCTAACCAGGCTGTTCGACCTGAGAATGGAGAGGAATGAGCCTAACCAGGCTGTTCGACTTGACAATGGAAAGGAATGACCCTAACCAGGCTGTTCGATTTGAGAATGGAAAAGAATGACCCTAACCAGGTTGTTCGGAAATGGCCCCTGACAAGGGTCATTTCTTTGGAAATAGGAATTAGGGTCCCCTGCATAATTGATTGAGAAAGACTGATTGAGAATGAGATGGAATTAGCAGTGTGAAATGGGAAAGGTCGGTGGATCAGTCGTTGAAATAGGCATGAGAATGGACGAGAGAGAACGATGCGTTGAAAAGAGAAGGGCAGGATAAAAAAGGCCGAGACTTAAGATGAGAAGGGCATAGACCGTTGGGACGGTCATAAGGATTGAATATTGAGGAATGTGAAAGTTGAGGATTGAGGGTGGGTCGAAGGGTCGGTCTTGAGAAATGACTATTGAAAGAGCGACCACCAGATTGGTCACGTGGGTTGGCCTTGTTCATGAGAGGCTGTCGGACCATCCATGAGAATCAGTTGTGAGAAAGGACTGGAAATAGCACTGGATTGAGTGATTGGATATTGCATCGCATAAGTCATGATGTAAGGAAATACGGGGAGGGGTCATCTGCCGTTCGCTGAAGCCATGGGCTACGGCGCTTGTCACCTCGCCGCGCCCGCTTCCGAGGTCCTTAGCGCCCAGCAGAGGGTGCCGGGTTGAGGGTGGCCTTTCACGCACCCTGTTGCCATTAGCTCTCACGACAGCGAGCCCCGACAGTCATCTGGCAATTTAGCAAGTTCTTGCAGCGGAGAGTTCCCACAGTCTACAGGTGATTCAACAAGTACACACAGCAGTGCGTCTCTACAGCCATCCGGTAAATCGACAAGTGACACAAGGGTGAGTTTGAACAGACAACCGGCAAAAAGACAATTGGTCAGAGCAGTGTGTTAGAACACTCAACCGGTAAATCGACAAGTGAACACAACAGTGAGTATGAACAGTCAACCGACAAAAAGACAAGTGAACACAGCAGTGTGTTTGATCAGTCAACCGGTACATGAGTGAACCTCTCAACAAATGTCAAAACCAAAACGTAATCAGCCGCTCAGATCTCTCGGACTGGCCCAAAATGGCCTAGCAGAAAACTCGGTTCGGGGTTAGACACTTTCCAGTTAATAGGACCGACTGCCCTTACTCAGAAGCATAAGTGTATTCGTATTTCAATGTACCAATTCGATCGTGAGCGCAATGGCTGATATTATCTTTCATCAACTCCCATGGCACTGTCACGTCAATAAACTGTCTAGAACTTGGAAGCCTCGTGAGCGCTGCCATGATAATAAAGCAAAGATAAGTGGCCTTCAATCCTCACAATCTCTTCCCCCACCTTCTTCGAACAAGACTCTTTGTCCCCCTCTCTCTTTCTCTTTCTGCTGAGTTGTCCATCTCTCCTCTCTCTCTCTCTCTCAACCCACAAGCACTCCGCTAAGCGCTGACCGCCTTCAGATCACTCGTTGACTGGGCCCTTTTTTTTTAACAAGCAGCAAAGTTGAATAGAAGAGAAATATGCTTAATAAGTGTTTGATTAATTACAAAAAAAAGACTCCCCTCACGC